AATTGCTGATATAGAACACCAAATATGACATGTGTGGAATCTATCAATTCAATTACTGATATAGAACATCAATTGCTACCTTTGATACTTACCTTTCAAGTATTCTCTCATCAGGGTAGAAAACACTTTGCATGACTGTAAAATATTTCTGTATTGAGGATAAACAAAGAGTAGATTATCAAAAGACCACACTCTTGACATAAAAATGCAGATTTCATTTCACTAACAAACAAGTCATTGTCGATGACACTTTTTCAGTTCCAATTTTTTAGTGACTATGTGTAACTCAGGCCAGGCATGCCTGAGAAACTTACAGCGCAAAAGTGTGGGACACAAATGGCCACCAGTCGGTCAAATGTCATCAGAATGTAAAACAAAATGCCTTGGAACCCACAAAAAATTATTGTATCAACAAAATCAGTCAAATAAAATGGCCAGAAGATATAAATAATACTCTTATAACAATATTACATTAATTAAAAGAACAGAAAGGATGAATCATGGAAAAAAATATATGCACTTGTGAACCAATATACATCCTCATACAAATCCTCATACAAAGTTTGAATGAAATTATCCAGTTCAGCCATATTTGACCAAATTGCAAAGATAAGCAATGTACATATGGAAGTCATCATTTATGTGAAGTTTGAATGAGATCTGTCAAAGCATGTCCAGGAAAAGTCTTCAGATGCACACATGAACAGACACACACACACACAGACGGAACCCAAATTATTAGCCCATATCATTCAAACAAAAATAATCACATTCCTTTTAAAGTAAAACCATGGTTACAAAAAATGTACAAATGACATACCCCTTTATGACCTTCAATCTTTATATAATGAAGTCCAAGTATCTTCACCATTAGAGTGTGCGGATACTTCTCAAAATGTTCTATATATTGTTTTAATATTCGCCGAAAAAAAATCACATCTTGTGGTTTCTCAGTTTTGATCATGAACATCTTATTATTACTAGGTAAAAATAATAAAATCAAGGAATGTCATAAAAATTGGCAAGTAAATCAAAATGCAACAACTCATAAAATAAAACATAGCGTGAAATTGAGTTGGTAGAAGATAGTGGTTGAAATAAGTACCAGCACTCAATTTTATTGTGATCATTTGAGGCTATGACATAAGTTTAGTCATTTGCATAATGATATTGATACACTGCAGTTGAATAATAAACATCTCAGTTACAAATGATCCCCCCCCCCCCCCGTGTGTTATTCACTGCTCATGGATTTGGTGATGCACTTGGCTCACTCTACTCTGAGCAAACAACTCTCAGCCTACATCCATATTGGAAGAAAACACTGATTTCATGCATGGTTGATAAGGAACCATGACCTCAACTTAAATTCCTTCACTAAGGTTGATCGTATATTCATCAGAATAACCATTCTAATCTAAGTATAATAAAGTTTATGAATATTAATAAATTCTCCAACCAAAATGTTGTCTATAGCTAATATAATATATGTCACACATTTATCAACAAACTAAGTATAAGCAATCAGGCATGTATTAAAAAAATGTATAGTAATTAACAAAATCATATATATGTACAAAATTTAATATAATCACCAAACCCAAATCATGTGTGATTTACAGCCACATATAACATGTGTGATGTTCATAGTTTCTAAAATGTGCCTGCACACTGAAATCATTGAAGACCTCATACATTCATCTTACGTCTTCTAAGCGTTCATTTCACAACGCAACTATGTAATACTCACCAAAGAAAGAAACTCATTCCACTTTTTGAGTTGCTGAGAAATTCTAAATAGGGAACATTTTTTGTGGTCACTAAAGAGTCTTTGTAGTCATCTTCATTTAAATTTAAAATATTTCGTAACTTATGAAATACTTTTGGTGCATAATTATGGAACTCAACTTTCTGCAAACAAAAATAATATGAGCATTTTAATGGTAGCAAGTTTCAGATGTACATGTCAGGTTTTGACCTCAGATGTACATGTCAGGTGTTGACCTCAGATGTACATGTCAGGTGTTGAACCCAAATGTACATGTCAGGTGTTGACCCCAGATGTACATGTCATGTGTTGGCCCCAGATGTACATGTCAGGTGTTGACCCCAGATGTACATGTCAGGTGTTGACCCCAGATGTACATGTTAGGTATTGATCTCAGATGTACATGTTAGGTGTTGATCCCAGATGTACATATCAGGTGTTGAACTCAGATGTACATGTCAGGTGTTGACCCCAGATGTACATGTCAGGTGTTGACCCCAGATGTACATGTCAGGTGTTGACCTCAGATGTACATGTCAGGTGTTGACCCCATATGTACATGTCAGGTGTTGACCCCAGATGTACATGTTAGGTATTGATCTCAGATGTACATGTTAGGTGTTGATCCCAGATGTACATATCAGGTGTTGAACTCAGATGTACATGTCAGGTGTTGACCCCAGATGTACATGTCAGGTGTTGACCCCATATGTACATGTCAGGTGTTGACCCCAGATGTACATGTTAGGTATTGATCTCAGATGTACATGTTAGGTGTTGATCCCAGATGTACATATCAGGTGTTGAACTCAGATGTACATGTCAGGTGTTGACCCCAGATGTACATGTCAGGTGTTGACTTCAGATGTACATGTCAGGTGTTGAGCTCAGATGTACATGTCAGGTGTTGACCCCAGATGTACATGTCAGGTGTTGAGCTCAGATGTACATGTCAGGTGTTGACCCCAGATGTACATGTCAGGTGTTGACCCCAGATGTACATGTCAGGTGTTGACCCCAGATATACATGTTAGGTGTTGATCTCAGATGTACATGTTAGGTGTTGATCCCAGATGTACATATCAGGTGTTGAACTCAGATGTACATGTCAGGTGTTGACCCCAGATGTACATGTCAGGTGTTGACCCCAGATGTACATCTCAAGTGTTGGCCGCAGATGTACATGTCAGGTGTTGACCCCAGATGTACATGTCAGGTATTGACCTCAGATGTACATGTCAGGTGTTGACCTCAGATGTACATGTCAGGTGTTGGCCCCAGATGTACATGTCAGGTGTTGACTCCAGATGTACATGTCAGATGTTGACTTCAGATGTACATGTCAGGTGTTGAGCTCAGATGTACATGTCAGGTGTTGACCCCAGATGTACATGTCAGGTGTTGAGCTCAGTTGTACATGTCAGGTGTTGACCCCAGATGTACATGTCAGGTGTTGACCCCAGATGTACATGTCAGGTGTTGACCCCAGATGTACATGTTAGGTGTTGATCTCAGATGTACATGTTAGGTGTTGATCCCAGATGTACATATCAGGTGTTGAACTCAGATGTACATGTCAGGTGTTGACCCCAGATGTACATGTCAGGTGTTGACCCCAGATGTACATCTCAAGTGTTGGCCGCAGATGTACATGTCAGGTGTTGACCCCAGATGTACATGTCAGGTATTGACCTCAGATGTACATGTCAGGTGTTGACCTCAGATGTACATGTCAGGTGTTGACCCCAGATGTACATTTCAGGCATTGACCCCCAGATGTACATGTCAGGTGTTGACCCCAGATGTACATGTTAGGTGTTGATCTCAGATGTACATGTCAGGTATTGACCTCAGATGTACATGTCAGGTGTTGACCTCAGATGTACATGTCAGGTGTTGACCCCAGATGTACATTTCAGGCATTGACCCCAGATGTACATATCAGGTGTTGATCCCAGATGTACATGTCAGGTGTTGACCCCAGATGTACATGTCAGGTGTTGATCTCAGATGTACATGTTAGGTGTTGATCCCAGATGTACATATCAGGTGTTGATCCCAGATGTACATGTCAGGTGTTGACCCCAGATGTACATCTCAAGTATTGACCCCAGATGTACATGTCAGGTGTTGACTTCAGATGTACATATCAGGTGTTGAACTCAGATGTACATGTCAGGTGTTGACCCCAGATGTACATGACATTGGGGATATTGGTGTATACATAAAATCCTGATTGAATGAAATTTTATAGAATAATTATTTCTTACAATAATGGTGACCTATCTTTGAAGATGTAATCAGAGTAACTGAAATGCTTTGTATGATTACAAGAAGCATTTCCAACATATTTACAGTTTCTGTTGAGTGTAAATGCTGGAACAATGAAACAATGTTTATATATAAAGAATATTTTCTACACTTGAGTAGATGGATGCTTGCAATAATAATATTAATAATAACTAGATTACACTACTAAAAATGTTCAGGGCATTTTTGAATGGTAAGGAACATAAATACAAAGAAATACAAATACCATAAAATTCAAAAGAGATAAAATTAAAGGGAAAAATAAAAATGTCTGTAAAATAATAATAATAAAATATGAAATATAGAACAAATATGGAATTCACATCCATTGTGTAAATATTTATTGCAAACTCATCAAACAGTTTTTTTCTTTGTCCATATAGTCAGTACATAATAGTAGGACAATTTTTTCATCTCCTAATGCTCAGACAGAATTTTGAAAGCATTTTCTTGAGTCTGAAATTTGAAATGTTTTGCAAATAATTTTCCATATCATAACTTACTTTGAATAATTTGTATGTTCTCAGTTTTGTTCCCCTATTTTCATTGGTTTTACTGAAATTTAGTTCTTCTCTTCATCTTTGAATATAATTCTCAGATAGTTTTTCATATCGTGATCATTTTTTATTTAATTAGATCATGTCCCAGTGTAACTTTAATATTCCTAACCCAGTTTGAATTAGTTTTTATTGTTTCGTCCGGGGCTAATTTTAAACAAGGTAAAGTTAAGTGCAATTTGTATTAAAAGTAGGAAAATCAGCATACCTTCTTATTTTCATCAACTTGATCGAACTTATCAAAATACTCAAAGTCTTCATCTGTTAAGTCAACCTAATGAGTAATATACAATATATTTTTATAACCATGGACAATATGCATAGCCTTGAAGTCACAACTGCAAATATGCATATTCAAAGGTGTTTCTTTTCCTGGTTCCTTCTTATACCTTGCACACAATAATAATAATAATAATAATAATAATAATAATAATAATAATAATAATAATAATAATAATAATAATAATAATAATTATAATGCCAATCTTTTTTATTATTACATCATCTTTTGAAGTCATCAAGAAATTAAATTTCTGGAGATCCTCCTATGTGTCTTGTGAAAAATGCAGCTCAATTTTCTGAATTTGAAAGCTGTAAGCCTGTAAAATGCTCAACTGGATTTTAGCATACCCCTGACTTATCAAAATGTAAACATGTTTACATTGTAGTTGTGTGATTCCTCCATCCATACATGTGAAGTTCTAATAATAGTATTGGTTATGTACACAGTAAATACCAACATTGTCAACTTAAAATATATAACAAGTCATTGTTCAAAAGTAAAATAGTAAACAACACTGAAATATGTCAGCCATTTTTATAACACAATGTATATGTATATATGTATGTGATGTATATATAAATACATGTATATGTGCGATATGGTGTGTGATGTATATATAAATACATGTATATGTGCGATATGGTGTGTGATGTATATATAAATACATGTATATGTGCGATATGGTGTGTGATGTATATATAAATACATGTGTATATGTGCGATATGGTGTGTGATGTATATATAAGTACATGTGTATATGTGCGATATGGTGTGTGATGTATATATAAATACATGTGTATATGTGCGATATGGTGTGTGATGTATATATAAAGTCTGATGGTAATCGGTCAGGACATGTCAGATATATGGCTCCAATGTATATACCAAGTTTGACATCAATACACAACCAACATCCATTTCCAGAATGGCAGAAATGCTTCATTTTGCTGAATTTTAAGCCATTTCATCTAGATTGTGAAACTAAAAAATGTGCACAAAATATGTCTCCAAAGATGTATGATTTATGTGTGATGTTTGATTGAGATTAGCACAGGCATGTTCAAAATACAAGTGCAGATGGACAGACACTAACAAAAACTCACAATTCATAAGTTGTAATTTCTTGACTTTTTCCAAACAGGAACTAAAATACACACTATAGAATTAGGTTAAGGCAAACAGAGGAAGTTTTTTTCCTGGAAAAATGATGAATGCACATGCATACGTACCAAAGATGTATGATGCAGTAATGAAGTAACCTTAAATAACATTCCACCATCCAAATAACACTATACATATATATGCACAGAGACATATACACTACAGACACTAATATACAAGCGCACCCTGACCAATAAAATATGTTACTGACCTGAGTAATGCCCTGACCTGATGTCACACTTTCATAACTTTTCTTCAATCCCATTCTAATACAATTTGTAAATAAATAACGAGGATGATTTTTTGTAATTTCTACAATTCCACGTCTGCTCCATTTTCTTCGAAATTGCGCCATCGCTTTGGAAAAACGTCCTTTGAGTTCCTTTCTTCTAGGTCTTTCAGACTCAGTCTTCTGGACCTCATCATCCTTTAAAATAAGAGAATAACAATATTGACATAAGAAGGTGATATTTTGCTGTAAACCAGTGGTACAATTCAAAAGTGTAAATGGCTTCATATTACTGCATAGTAACAGTCAATCCTCACACTAGTATGCAATGAAACTGATGCAACTGTAATTTAGTGACTGCATCTATCTGTCAAAAACTAGTATACAATGTGTTTAATTGTACTGTTATTATAATTTCAAGAAGAACTAACAAACAATATAACGTATATTGTATGTAATGCTATAATGATAGGATGTATATTAACATATTGTATGTAATG